CAGGGTTTTAAAAAATTCGACTGAATCTCAATTTAGAAAGTATTTAATAAAGAAATAAAATTAATCCATCCATTGATGCGTTCTTCAATTCACAAATAACTTTATTTAATAATTAGTTCATGTTTGGGTAGTCAGAAACATTTTATTTTTACACAATTTTTAATTAAGAATGAAATTAAATTGTTAATTTATTTTAATGAAAAAGTGGAGTTTGTTTTAATTAACAATAAAATTTAATAAATAGTTAAACATCCTGTAGCTAATTATTAGTTTTTTCTTCAATAGTTAAAAATCGTTCAAATTATTACTGTAATTTGATTCGCTATTGTTTCATTTTCTAATTACTAATTTGATTGAACTAATAATTGAAATCACTTGCAATTAAGATTTAATTATAACAAAAGTCGATTATTTATGATGCATTGAAACACTGATGACTAGGCCATTGTAATTCAGTATTGTTTTGGCTGTTGACATGTATTTACATGTGTATTCATGAATGTTTGAGATAACTACAATTGCCTCCATTTTTTTTCTTTTTAATCTTTTTTTTTATTTATTTCCTTTATATTTTATCTAGAATAGAAACCTTAAATTGTACTATGCTATGGCATACTTTTCATACACAGTTTGATTAGTTTTGTCAACATATATTTGTATACAAAAAATTATCTTTCGAAAGTGTATATTTATGTGTGATTTTTAAAATAGTTGACAAATACTGTATTTCACATCTATAGAACACCATTGTAAAGTATATGATTTATATTTTAAGAAATTAGTTAATTTTACAAGTTTTTTATCTAAGATAATCTAAGCACTTTTCTTTGTAAGAAATGTAATCACTACATGAATTTTTATTATAAAATAATATAAATCACTGATGAAAATAAGAAAATCAACTGTTTAAAAAAATAAATTTTAAGTAATCGAAAAAATGTTTCATCCTCAAGATGATGTGACACAAGATGCGTATGATACTAGACAAAAATTTTTAACAAACAATAGTCAAATATTATTCTAATGACTACGAATGCTGTATAAGTAATAAATTTTAGCGATTGTGTCGTAAAAAAAAAACATGGAAAATTTTTCGGCGATCTCAACAAATATTACATTAACGAATTAACCGTCATAATCTATACACAAGATATTATGAACGTTTTACTAATTATTTCTTTTTCATTCAACATACTCGTATAATTAATTGTTGAATCAATATATGATTAATTAATTTTACTGTTAACGTACACTATTGAAAATAATCTATCTAACATATAACTCATTCTTAAAAACATAGAAAAATAAATATTAATCGAAACCCTTAAGATTTAGACTCATCCTGATTCACTTGGAATTATTATTTAATAAGATAAAATCCATCCTTTTTTTTTAATGAACAGCACATTTTTATTCAAAACATGTAGAAAAGCAAACAACTCGTTTTTTTTTTTTTTTTTAAATTGGAAAACAAACGCTATTCATCATACTCTTGGTGACATTACTCGCCGAGTATTGCAGCTTCTACGTAAAATACCAATAACCGTAGGCAGCAACGCATATATATAGGCGGTAAAATGCACCTCTACAAACGAGACCTTGAAATCCCTCTAATTGTGATGATCCCCATCGAAAAACAGTGTCACGTAGCCGCTTTCACCTCTTAGGTATTAACACAGCGTGTGTGCAGTCGCCTGCCCACATCATCTTTCCTCCCAAGAAAAAGTTGAATGGACTCTCTTAAGCTCGCCTGTGTTCTCTTACCTGTCCTCGTGACGACCAGACCTACAGCAAGCTCGCCGTTCATTCACGCTTCTACCGCGTGAAAATTCAAGTCAAACAACTGGTCGGTCACATACTCAGGTTCCCGTAAAAACTCGTTTCTCATATGCATTGAGACCTGCAACCGTCAACTCGTGTTTCCTTTTTTTTTATTTTTTTTTTTTTTCTTACGATGAATTGAGATATACTTGCAAGTAGATCATGTCTTTTTTTTCTTTCCAAAAGACCGCCTTACGTGCATCTGTTCTTTTTTCCTTCTCTTACAACCATTTTACAATTTTTTTACAAACTCTGGGCCTCACCTTTCCAATAACACGGCATCTTACCTTTTTTAATTTATTACTTTCAGGTTCTTCCCACGCCACCCCCAACATTGAGGTCAAAAACATGTTACGACATTCACTCTCCCATCCAGTTTTTAAACCTGCCTACGCAAATTCCTACCTCTGCAGTCCTTTCCCCCACTCGGTGCTTTCGACATTGTCCCTCTCCATTGGACTTTGGGGACCAACATTACGACTGCCCAGTGATTTCCTTCCACTTTTCTCTCACCCATTGCACGTATAAGTTGGCTTTTTAAGCGAGTGGGTATACCATTTCCCGTTTGTCCGTCAAAAAGTATTGCATTAGGATTTTATTGATATTAGATTCTAACGTTTCGTAACTCAACCGATGTGATAATGGATAATAAATATTAACTTGCTTACAAAGTGACATTAATATAATATCACAAAAAAAAATCACAAGCAGTTCTGAAAGAGATTTAATACAGCAAGTGCTCGAACGTCGTCAATTACCATCCATCTAGGTATTATAAATTTTACAACAAGGAGGTAAATTGTTTTTAAGAAAAAATAATACATTTCAATTTAACAATAGTTTAGTTTTTTTTTTTCTTAATAAATTAACCACTGCCGATTATAAAAATAAAAAAAAAGAGGCAATATTATTATTAGTCCACGTGTGATTGTGCAGTGACAGATCGGTATATAATCGTGAGAGTATATTGCTGTGTTGTTTCTACACACAAGCTTACGCTGACACATGTGAATGTCCCACGTTAAAAGGACATTATGTACGTCAATGACGTATTACTTTTTTCAAAAACACCATCACATGTTTCTATAGCCTTCATAAATAGCTTTATTTGATTGGCTCGTTTGTACGGTAATCATGCCATTTTTCTTGACTCATCATTAATTTTAATTAAACATATTTAAAAACCATTGGGTTGCGTTCATGGGAATAATAGGTATTTTTATTTCAAATAATACTAAAACTATTTTAAACACATCAGATATCAGTAAAAAACGTGTTAATACGTACGTATATTTTGCATATTCTTGTTATATTGAAAAATCAAACATTTCATAGGAATATCTCAAGTATGGTATACATCTAAATTATATAATTTATACGTGTTATAAATATACCTATTTCATTACGAGGGTTACCAATATTATAGGAAAAATATTATTCATCAGCAATTAACTTAGGGCTTAACACTAAGTTCAGGGTTTTAAAAAATTCGACTGAATCTCAATTTAGAAAGTATTTAATAAAGAAATAAAATTAATCCATCCATTGATGCGTTCTTCAATTCACAAATAACTTTATTTAATAATTAGTTCATGTTTGGGTAGTCAGAAACATTTTATTTTTACACAATTTTTAATTAAGAATGAAATTAAATTGTTAATTTATTTTAATGAAAAAGTGGAGTTTGTTTTAATTAACAATAAAATTTAATAAATAGTTAAACATCCTGTAGCTAATTATTAGTTTTTTCTTCAATAGTTAAAAATCGTTCAAATTATTACTGTAATTTGATTCGCTATTGTTTCATTTTCTAATTACTAATTTGATTGAACTAATAATTGAAATCACTTGCAATTAAGATTTAATTATAACAAAAGTCGATTATTTATGATGCATTGAAACACTGATGACTAGGCCATTGTAATTCAGTATTGTTTTGGCTGTTGACATGTATTTACATGTGTATTCATGAATGTTTGAGATAACTACAATTGCCTCCATTTTTTTTCTTTTTAATCTTTTTTTTTATTTATTTCCTTTATATTTTATCTAGAATAGAAACCTTAAATTGTACTATGCTATGGCATACTTTTCATACACAGTTTGATTAGTTTTGTCAACATATATTTGTATACAAAAAATTATCTTTCGAAAGTGTATATTTATGTGTGATTTTTAAAATAGTTGACAAATACTGTATTTCACATCTATAGAACACCATTGTAAAGTATATGATTTATATTTTAAGAAATTAGTTAATTTTACAAGTTTTTTATCTAAGATAATCTCAACACGTCCTAATAATGCATTTTATGATATTTTTTACTCTTTACGAGAAAATATAAGGATTAATAAGAAAATGTGAAAAAATTCAAGAAGGCATAATAGAATTCACTGAGGATTATGGAAAAAAAATTTTTACTCTTTTTACTATTTGTAACTTATTATTAGTAAGATGATATTCAATTTAAATATCAACAAATACAAAAGACATTTCATGGTAACAATTGCCCTAAAATATAAACGTTGCTATTCGTCAAATCAGGCGTTGAAAGCAACTTGAAATTTTCAAAATAAACGAGGAAGTACTGTAACAGCTTATTTACACAGTGACATCTTGTAACAATTAAAAGTAAACATATAAAATTGGTCCTCCATTGATTTTTCTACGATTGTCTAAAATAATAAAAATAACATCCAGTAACAAATGCTGAAATTAAAAAAAATAATAATAAAAACCTCTAGTTACAAGTCACTGATAACATAATTAAAATTTCTTGTCTGTTTTTTTTTTGTTTTTTACAGAAAAACCACGATCAAAAAACTCTTTTCAAATCGCCAAACGATTGCCGTCTCGTCGGGAGGATCAAACTACCACTGAGGATTTAGAATACTCTTTGAAGCCACAACTAGTAGCTAATCACCCGCCCGACAAGCATGTCCCCGAGCTGCGAGCCGGATCCCGAGCCCAAAGAAAAAACCGACCGCAATTCCTCGGGTAGTTGCTACCTTTGCGAGGTGTGCGGAAAAACATTTACCACACTGTTCCACCTGAACACGCACACGCGCGTCCACACGGGCGACAAGCCCTACAAGTGCTACAAATGTTTGCAATCCTACAGCCACAAGAGCACCCTCACGACCCACATGCGCATCCACACGGGCATTGTCTACGACAAGTGCGCCATTTGCCACCGAGCGTTCAACAACTCGAGCAACCTGAAGGTCCACATGATGATCCACACCGGGGAAAAGCCCTTCCCGTGTGCCCTGTGCCCCCAATCCTTCAGGCACAAGCATCACCTGGCGAGCCACATGAGGATCCACTCGGACGAGGACGACGCCAACTTGGAGTGCTCGGTGTGCCACAAGATGTTCGGCAAAAGGAGCAGCCTCGCGAACCACATGCGCATCCACACGGGCAAAAGTTTCTTCCACTGCTCGGTGTGCGCGAGGAAATTCAATCGCAAGGGCAACCTCGCGAAGCACATGCGCTCCCACACGAAGGAGAAGCCGTACCAGTGCCCGGTGTGCCGTCACTCCTTCGGCTACAAGAACAACCTCACGAGGCACATGCGCACCCACACGATGGCGAGGCCCTTCGAGTGCGCCCTGTGCTCGCAAAAGTTCAGCCTCAAGGACACCCTGGCGAAGCACATACGCGTCCACACGGGCGAGAGGCCCTTCAAGTGCGCCCTCTGTCTGGAGACGTTCAGCCAAAAGAGCAACCTCAACACCCACAAGCGCATCCACGTGAGCAAAAAGCCGTACGGCTGCTCGTACTGCTCCCTGCATTTCAGCGACAAGAGCAACCTCACGAGGCACACGCGGATCCACACGGGTGAGAAGCCTTACGGGTGCTCCGTGTGCTCGCAAACATTTCGCATGAAGCACCACCTCACGTACCACACGCGGACCCACGCGAGGGACAAGCGCTTCGAGTGTGCGGTGTGTTTTGCTAAATTTCATCAAAAAGACCGACTCGCGAGGCATGTGCTGGCTCACGAGGACAAAAAGTCCGGGCGACGCTCCGCAAGGTCCCTGGGAAGTAAACAACCTGCGACATACAAGTCACGTGAGGACATTTGATACCTCCAATCGTCCTTGGCAATACGATAATATAAACGGTACGATGATCGACTATGCATGCATTTTCATAAAATACTGCATCGGTATTATCGTTATCGAATGCAACGGAGCGAACTGATGAAATTTTTATTTATTTTTTTTTTGTTTTCGGCGCATCCGAGCAGCCGTACTTTTATTTTGTACATAACGCACGACAGCTGTAGTTTTTACGATTAAAAAAACATGATTTTAACAATTATAATGCTGTTATTTTTTGTTTAACCTTTATTTTAATCCTCCCAAGTTGACGTTTTTTTGTGATTTTTTTTTTTTTTTTCTTCTTTCTATCATGTTCTTTTTTGTTCTGCTTTAGTGGTGTAATATACTTTTTCTCCTGAAAATAAAAGTTCGAGAGAGTATTTTCTAAAATACTGTTGTAATCAAGAGAATACAGTCAGAGAAGCCGAAGTGAAGTATACTAACTTACGCCTATTTAACAATTTTGGGGCGATTCGTCAGTGGGAGCACAAAAAGTAAGTACTTATTTAGTACTTATATCCAAAAGCAATAAGAAAAATTTACGAATAAAAGTCTTTATTTTTTAACTTACTTATTTTCTTAAATTTATTTATTGATATCGATGAATGAGCCAATGTATTTTATATGGCCGCCTTGAGTGTGATCATAAATTGTTATTTATGTCTCATTTTATCAAGGAACAGGTTGTAAAGATGAAATAATGAAAAATGAACATTAATAAAATGTTGTGAAATAACTGTATGATAATAAATATTATATATGTTTTTAAATATAAGTATTTACATTTCCTAACAACTGATCAATTATTGATGTACAATATTTATTGGAGAAAGTTTTCGCAAATCATATTTTTTTTATTATTACTGGTAATCTCTTAAGCACTTTACGGCTTTATGGCCTCATCCTAATAAAAAAAATCAAAATTTTTGTAGTTTAATTTCAAAATTTCACTTGAACTTAATGATAGGAAAGTGTGTTCATAAGACATCACATAACGAACATAACGACAATATACGAACGTGGTTTATACACGACTTGACGACTTTTTTGTTAGTTTTTCCTTCAATATTCTTTTTTTATTCGTCGATATGTCTCCCCAGCTGAAATTGCACTTTCTACTTTTTGCAATGACACAGCAGACCAGCACTGCCAATTTGTTTTTCATTTGTACAACCTCAATATCACTTTGTTTTCAATTAATAAACCTTACCGCATCACAACACTGAATATCAGAACGAGTGTCTCTCGGAAAAAAGATAGAAATCGCCTGCTGCTATGCTTGTTTCATCGTATTTCGCTTTATCTGATTGATCCATACAGCCCCCCCCCCCCCCTCAACCAATATTTCTTAAATAGTGGATAATATATTTTCCGCCTTCTAACCTCAAAATAGCACCTTCGCCGCTTGATTTTGGGTTCTCAGGCGGAAAAATAGTATACGAAACTCGTTCCTCGCCTTCGGCTCGTGCCGTAAACCTCTCAGTTCGTAAATCGAAGCCTTTGCAAACTCGTGCGTGATATAGTATTTATAAAGCATTGTACTAAAGTGTAACAGTTGCTTCATTGATATCAAATTTTATGAATGAGGAAATAGTAGTTTTCCTACGAGTTTGAAAAGTCTTTGTTTGCGGCCCAAGCCGAAGGCGAGGTCCGTAACGAGGTTCGTAAAGGAGACTTTTCGAACGAGTATCGGAAAACTGCTTTTTCGCCCGAGGAAGTACCAGCCTCCCAAAACCACCCGAGGGCGGAAAAAATCTTTTTTAATACTTGTATTCCTGTTTGAAGTTAGTGACGATTATAATTTTTTTTTTTTGTACTTTATAATTAAAAATAGTATTGTGAATGAAAAAATCTCGAAGGCTTATTAACGACTTATGACAATATGCAATAGAAAAAAAAACCAATACTATTAGTAGTGTGACTTTAAATAATGATAAAGATCCATTTGATCCAGTGACCCATACAACCCCAGGTTCCCCTAGTATTCGCTCCATGCAGAACCGGCAAACATTGGAACTTTAAATTGGGTGTCGAAGTTATAATTTTTGCCGGTTGTGATGAAAAAACAGTAATAACTGTTATAAATTAAAAAAAAACTTGTAGGAGTTATAGGTTATAATATCTATAATGTGTAATCAACTAAGCATTGAATTTTGAAGTCACCAAAAAAAGACTTCTATAAATTATTATAAGTTGTTAGTTATGATAATTTCTTGTCTATATTTAAAAACGAAATAAACCCGATCTTATGTTTTAATTCAACTTTGACAAAGAAAAAAAAAAAAATTTATTAAAAAGATGAATACAACTACAGTCTCCAGTAGCTGTTCATGTGCATGTACAAAATGTAAAAAACTTTGGATCACGGCATAACAATTTTCGTAATACTGTGATAATTACATAGTTTACAATGTGCTATAAATGTGTTAAAACTGTCGTAGGATATTCCACATTTCTTGTAACCAATTTGTATTAATTATTATTTTTTTTTTTTAATTTCATTTCTTTCCAACAGTTAACTTCTCTATGTTTTAGGGAAACTTGTAAAATAAATAGACTTTAAAACAAGTTATAACATAATAGCTAACAAAAGCATTACAAAAACATTTGAAAAATCTGTGACAATTAAGTAGCGGACTACTATTATCCCGTCTCAATGTAACTTTTTTTTAATTAAAAACTTTATTTGTAATAAAGTGTATACACTTATCATACAAACCAGCTCAGTTATGATCGTATAAATTTAATTCTCATCAACAATACAGGTGTGCTAATAGGTTAATTGTTTTTTGGTCATCCATTATCTATAATGCAGATAATGTGACACAAAACTCAATGCACTGCCAACCAATCATCTTTTATGAAATCACTTCCTTTCTCGCCAGTCATGATGGCTGGTCCAAGGGTATTTCCCCTGGGAGTAAACGGTAAAATAGATGCGTCAATCACTCTCAATCCGGATATTCCATGAACACGCAATCTTGCATCCACAACCGAAGTTGGATCACTTACTTGTCCCATCTTACAAGTGCCTACGGAGTGCCACCCAGGGGTGGTAAACCGCTTAGCAAAACACTTGTAAAACTCATCCGAGTCATAATCGTACTTTTCACAACCAGGAGCTGGTATTGGTACGCGTTTGTATCCTGCTTTTTTAAAGGTTGACGTCTCGAGTACTTTATTTACTGTTCTGACTCCTTCAATTAAAACTTTGAGATCATGTGGATCCTTTAGGTAATTACCGTATATTAACGGATGACTCCAGATAGGATTGGTCTTATTTAGTCTTAAAGATCCACTGCTTTTGGGAGTTAGCAGGCAAACAGAAAATGTAATTCTATTGTAATATGGCACAAAATTCGGTGTCTTAAAATCCGTTTTTCCGTGGTAATGCTTGAGAAATATTACTTGTACATCTGGTCCATCAATTTCTTTCGCCAATCGAGTTCGAATAAACAAATGAACATCAAACAATCTTGAACTTGCCATTACCCCCTCGTGAGTACTTAGCCAGTAGCTAATATCATTTTGAATTAAATCAAACGTTAATGGCCCAGTGTAACCATTTGGGAATTCAACCACGACAGGATTAGTGCAAACATGATCATGAAGGTAAGATCCCACTGGTAGTTCTTTTATTACTTCGATACCAGCTTCTTTCAGCTCCGCCACAGGACCTATCCCAGAGAGCATCAGCAGCTTTGGCGATTCTATGGTGCCACCCGAAACTATTACTTCCTTCGAAGCAAAAATTTTGTGTATCCTTCGAGAATTTCCAGTCACATACTCTACACCAATGGCTCTCTTTTCCCGTTTATCGATGATAATCTTAGTCACTCGTGTCATCAGCTTGATAACTAAGTTGGATCTTCTTCCGCGGATAGGTCTGATAAAAGCACCATTAGCACTTTGGCGGGCTCCGTTTATGCGAGTCAATTGGAGTCTCGACAACCCAAGCTGATCACCAGAATTATAGTCCGTTTCTGTGTAGTTTAGTTCTTTAAAGGCTTCAAAAATCGTGTCACCCACATTTTCCTTGCGTAGACCCCCAACTGTTAGATACCCGCCAGTTGAGTGAGCATCCGGATATTTTTCTAAAATCTGATAAAATATATATCTTTTAATATTGGCTGATATTCATTACATTCTGTAATGCCTACGAAAAACTTTTCAATAAGTATGTAATACAGCACATTACTTACTTCAGGATACCTGAGGTCTTCTGATTTTTTAAAGTGAGGTAAGACATCTTTCCAGCCCCAGCCTGGATTTCCGTGACTAGCAATTGTATCGTAGTCAAACTTATTCCCTCGAACATACAACATACTATTAACGACACTAGAACCTCCTAAAGCTTTTCCACGAATCGTTAAACATCTTCTGTTATTGCTAGCTTCACATGCGTTGTCCTCAGGTTGAGTGTAGTAAGAGTAGCTGATACTACTCGGATATAGAATCTGTTCTTGTGCTGGTAAATCTGCTATTATTGGTTCCTCATCGCCTGCTTCTAGTACCAAAATCTAGACCAGTTTAAAATATTTAAGTTTTAGATTGACACAAATATTTTTTATGAGTTAAATACCTTCCAATTTTTGATTTCGCTCAAACGATTTGCAACAACGCAACCAGCACTTCCAGCCCCGACGATGATAAAATCATACTCTGAATCTATTTTTACATTGCGATTGACAAAATTACTATCGTATGAGTAGCCAAGGTAATTGGTTAAAAAAGCTAAAAATTGTAATGCTGCCAAACTGCATGAGTTTGGTGCGCATATATTCTCATTTTGAGCGATGGACCACGCCATTTTCACGAATACTTTGTAATTAACAGTCATTTTGTATATTTATGAACGTGATGCTTTATATTATAATTTTTTGTTATTGGAATCATAATTTTTCAAGTGTGTTACGTGTACTGAATAAATTTTTTTGTAAACAAAGAGAACTTCCTCTTTGATATGAAAAATAAATAAACACTTAAGACGTAGTACTTGAAGCATGACTGTTTCATGAAAACATGTATCTACAAAATATAATACTTCCTCTTTACTTTGAAATTTGTTTGTATTAAAGTACAAAATGAAACGATACCATTTAAGCAAATTTTTTGAATCAGTTATGTAATTCCTCATGATTACTCGTAGTTAATTAATTTATGACCTTTTAAGAATACATTAATCGAAATGACATTGGATCGAAATCTAATACATTAAGGTTTTTGATTAAAATATCTACAGCAGACGAAAATTCGGTTACCTTAGTACAATTATAATAATAAACATTTCATGGAAAAGTATTAAAAAGATATTCATGGGACTCTAAAGTTAGCCAATCACTGTGAAATTCTTCGAAATTGCTGTATAGATGTGTGTATGTACTTCATAGTACATTTGCGTTTCTCCACCACATGTGCTCACATCATCTCGTTGATTTTGACTTTATTTCTTTGATGGCTTTGTATCTTAAAAATTGTTTTGTCTGCTAATAAAGAATAAACAGTAGCCAAGTTAAAAGTTTGATATTGAATTACTCAAAATCAAAAGGTGTGTTCTATACGTAATTTGTATTTAAGAAGTCAAACAAAGAGTCTAAAAAAGAATTACATGGGACAAGCTTAGTTTTAATGGTTACCTTGTACATATACTTTTGTCAGGTGATTTTTAACTTAACGACTATTGTTGTGTCTTTTACTTCTCTCAATCGCAATTTTCATTACATTAATTTAAAATTTCCCTAAAAAGAATAGATGTTTTCAAATGTTTCCGTGTTGATATATTTTATTTGAATAAGTACTACTTATTTAAAACATATTTTTGATTACGATTACTCGTATCCATATGATTAACTAAGTTTTTACAAGAAATAAGTACGCTTATTTAAAAACATTTATACCAGACATTGTTTTTGTGTTGCATTGAAATATTTCATTAGTTATGTTTCATTTGAGTTTCACAAATGTTGAATAATAATAACATAAATATAACAATAAAATAAGAATAACCAGACTTTAAAAAAGTACCACAAGATATAAATTAATTATCTTTGGATAGATATTAATTATTTTTAGATTTTTTTATCGTTGAGGATGCAACAAAATTTCCAAGTTAGTAATGTTTAGTTTAACAATATTCTTGGCAGACGAAATTTCCGATTACTTGCCATTTTATTTTAATTAGATAATGGAATGAATCAACATAGGCTCTGATTTTTTATTTTTCGCAGCAAAACTTGAGATCTAATGTTATTTTAGTCACGCAAAAAATTTTAAATATAATTTTGTTCTCCAAAGAATATATTGCTTTACATATCTTTGTGCCTTAGACTTTTATTGATAAATATAAATAATTTTTTGGTCCATTATTAATAAAATGTGTTAACATACTAAATTAGTCTTTTAGTAATGAGGTAAAATAATTGGACAAATAAAAATTACAGGTTTTTTTTTCTCTCGAATCGTTGACATAACTCACTTACAAATGCGATAACATGTAGCGATAAAGATTTTCATCCAGTACAACTATATTTCAAGCATGCCATATTGCATATATATTGCAAATATGTATATTAATGAATCTCTAAGACCAGACCTGTATGAATAGTTAAAAAAAGTATGGTCAAAATTTACACATACATCTAAAGTTTAAATGTTTAGGTATTACCATATAAAAAAAATCAGGTAACGTTGTTTCAAGATTAATCAACTAACATACGTTTTATTGCAGCTTATTAACAAGCAACTTGAGAAAAAAACTTTTTACCCTAAGTTTTTTGTGACAAAAAGTTGGGATGATTTGGTAATGTTGCAAGAATAGATAGGAAGAATTCACACAGGATTAAAGTAGACAAATTAGAAAAATATAATTACCATTATCTTAAAATATTTAATCATGCAATTAAAAATAAAAATTTATTATTCCTGATTTAAAGGTAAACTTACGAAATAGAGGTATTATCATAAGTAACGTGTTTAACAGAATTATTGTGTTGCTAACTAGCTACAATTATTTATTTTTTTTTTTCTTACTGGATAGGGCTTCTTAAACAGGTGAGTATCTCTGTGTTTTTGAAATTCAACTACATTTCCATACTTAGCTCCACAATCACTGCATCGATACATAATACGGAGCCTATTTTTTTTATTTTTCTTGTTATTGGCATCTTTCGAGCTTGAATTTTTATCACTATTTATTTTCATGATGACTTACACTTATTACAGGAAATAACTGAAACGTTACTGTAATTCCAAGACATAGACAATTAGTAAAAAACGTCAGATTTCCATTTATAAAATTAGAATCAGAACATAAATAGCTTCATCGTGAATTGTAGTCATGAATATAGACTTATATCATCTTTAACCTATCTTTGAATAAATATTTTACGATTTTTGTGCAACGTTTTATTGTAAAATTACATGAACTGTGATTATTTTAAAAATATCATGAGAACACACATGTAATATAACAAGCTAAAGACTCATTTTTTGTCGTTACTATATTTATAAGTAATTAAATTCAACAATAATAGACTCATGTTTTCACAGAAATCGACAATTCAACTGTCCAAAAATAAAGAAAAGTCTAAATAACTTATAAGTGAAATACATGCAATATATTTATATTTTGAATTAAATTACTAAATCAAAGATTAGTAAAAACCCATGACATCAAATTTTCGTGTAGCTTTGAATAGCTATGATGAATAGTTGAATAGTTTTGACAGCCAAATATTAACTTTTTAAATAACTACACTGTCCATGAAATTTTTTTATTTCAAAATAACAGTTTACCTCGTAGTTTGTAACAAGTAGATTAAAATTCAATGCACTTACCGCTAAAAAAATTTTGTCTGGCTCTATAATCTATTAGTATATACACTAAGTAGCAGTTGACACCTTATGTTTCAATACGCACGATTTACTCAAGTTTAAAACATCAGTATTCAAAAGCTGCAAACTTTTACGGGCTACGACTCGAAAGATATCGTTAATAGGTTTGTTAATATGTTTTAGATACATCTATAAGATAAATTAAAAAGACTATTTAGAATACTTTTTTGTCGATGCGCTATAAAAGTGATGACTTATACTGCTTATGAAAAAAATTATTAGTCATGCTAAGTAGCATAAAAAGCAGTTGATGCACGCTTGACGTAAAATTAAGAAATACGTTGTGCCCGTAGAAGTGGTGGTTTTCGAAATTCGACTGCAAATGCAGCCAGAATTCTTGAAAACATAATTTTTTCTTTATTATTTGAATGATTAATTATCAACTATAAATATTAGATGATGAATAAGTATTTTTATAAAGAATTTACAATATTTAAATAGTCGAAATTTTAAAATAAGTGAAAATTCTGTCGACGATTCAATTTTTTTTCATTAAAAATAGCTCTCTTTTAACTAATTTGAAAAATTAGTATTAAATTCAGAATCATTAAACCAATAATTTTTGATGCTCAGTTTTTGAAATTATTGGTTATGAAAAAAGATTTTTTTTAACTAAGGTGCAGTTATTTCAAAAAAGTTAAGAAAGCTATTTTCATTTGTAGCAAAAAATAAGTATTTGGTGAAATTTTTAGTTATTTTCATCTAACAATGTATAAAAACAAAAATAAATAAATAAACAAATAATCGCAAGGGATAGAATCTAATTTTTTTTTAATACATTAGGAAATGAGCTATGGCAAATTAAAGTAAGGCGTTTATGAGCTGATCTGCTTATGTATGA